CTTACCATCATCGTTATTCGTCACAACCTACTACATTGTCGCCCAACCAAAAATACTCGTCGTCATCCACCACCGCCCACCATTGTCACCAACACCGTCGTCGCCCCAACCACCACCATTACTATCGCCCACAACTACCCACATCCACCACTACCACCAGCGTCGTCACTCATGACTGCCACTGCCACCATCATCACCTAAAACCCAGGATTACCATTACCGTTGTCACCCACGACTGCCACCATTACCACGGTTGTTACTACCTACCACCAACACTGTCGCCCACTATCACTACCACTGTTCACTTCCAGTACAACCCGTGCTTAAATTCATTTTTTTTTCCTATTTGTGATTTGATTTTTTTTTTTAATACAAATATGTTTATTATTAACTATTTTTTTATTACTTCGTGCCTTTAGGTACATGCAATAACTAATCTATATAATAAAATATAATAAAATTTAAATCTAAAAAAATAAACAAAATGACTTTTACTTTTCGCGGTTGAGATCTTTTTAAATTTATACTTTAAAGTTAATCCGATAGTTAATACTAACATCTCAAATTTAATAGGGAAAATAGGTCTCTAAATGTGTGTTTGAGATAATTTTTTAAAAGTGTTTATAGAACTTATGACTTTTCATAAATACTTTAAAAAAAGCGTAATGTTTGAAACTGGCCCCCCACCACTACTACCACCACCACTACAATCGCCGCCATCACACCACCATTACCACTGTCGCCACAAGCCGAAATATGAGAAAAATTTTGAGCGTAACAATTACCCCACGTTAGAAGTGTCATTTTGTATAGTCGTCCACTAACAAGTGAATCACGTAAAATTCAATAATCATCTTCATATAAATATAAATAAAATTGGCTTAATTTATCTATTTTTTTTTTTTTGACAAAAAATTAAAATAGTTGGCGTGCACCACCTAGTACCTTAAAAGTAAGTTTGTGATTGTTTGACTGATTTATATATTAGGTACAAACAAAGCACAGCCATGACCAACATTTTCTTTCTATAAAGTCTTCAGTTCCTCTCAACTCTTGCAAGACAAATAATAGGATCCAATGGCAAAGAGCAAGGTTCTAATAGTTGGGGGCACTGGGTTTATTGGTAGGAGGATGGTTAAGGCCAGCTTAGCCCAGGGACACCCAACCTATGTCCTCCAGAGGCCAGAGATCGGCCTGGACACTGACAAGCTGCAGTTGCTGCTCTCGGTCAAGGAGCAAGGTGCTCGACTCGTCGAAGGCTCGTTTTCCGATCACCAGAGCCTCGTGGATGCGGTGAAACAAGTCGACGTGGTCATCTGCAACATATCCGGCGTGCACTTCCGGAGTCACAACATTCTGATGCAACTTAAGCTGGTTGAGGCCATCAAAGAAGCCGGGAACATCAAGGTATGCATATGTTTTATCTATCACTTACATATATGTATATTATATAGGTATGTTTTTATATTACATTGGCATTTATCTCAATCAGATGGATATGATAATGATGGAGGCTCATAATTAGATTGTCTATAATACCCTACCCTCCAATATCCCCTAGTAAGAAAAAGAAAAGAAACGAGGTGTTATCGTTTGCCATAGCATGCCATGGTGTTCAGTTGTTGAGTTTTTGATAGAGACTGCAACCTCATCAACAATAACCATACGGCCGAAGACACTCCACTCCGTAATACTTAAAGTCGAGCATTGATTGTGGAGTATTTTATTTTAAATAATAATAATTTTTTTAATTAGGTAATTTAAAATTAAAGCGGGACATAGAGATAATAAGAAAGGGATAGGTGTGAGTTAGTGAGATTATCTAGCATTGAGGAGTATGTTGGTTAGATTGTCTAAAATTGAAAGCCGTGCAAGAAAGATAATGTTTATTGGGCAAAAATATTTATTTTGAATGCATTTTGTAATGTTAAATAAAATTAGAGAAAATTTGAATTAATCTCAATTACGATTGTGTTTTTATAAATGTGTAATTCAAATTGTTAGCTGTAATATTAAACAGATAATAAGAAAGGCGAATTTCATTTTTTACCTTGAAATATTTTAAAAATTTTAATTTATATCCTTAAACATTATATTTTTCACATTATAGCCCTCAATATATCAAAAATATTACATTGTGATACTTCTGTTAATTTTTTTGTTAATTTTTTTATCGGTGTCAATGGATTGGTTTTTTATAAAAAAAATAACGAAAACTAACAAAAGAGTTATATTGCAATACTTTTTGATACGTTAAAAATATATAATACAAAGAAGTTAATCTTTGAAGATACAACAAAGTAAAAAACTTAAAATTTTTCATGACGTAAAAGTTTGAAAAATCCTAATAAGAAAAGAAAGGGTGTGATGGGGGTGTGGAAAAGCTAGCGAAATGTCAATATGTTTTTTGAACTTTGAAATAGTCAAACGTTTCTAGATGAAATCTACAAAGATTCTACCATTTGTCTTCGTTCACATCTGGCATTATTATTGTAACACATCTCCTACCACAAGTTTTCTCCGACTTTTGTGATTTGAAAGTCATATGTTTCGAGTCACATCTGTAAGTTTTCTGTGTTCGACATAAAATTGCATATGCCATGTTTTTTTTTAAACCTTGTAATGTTGGGACTCTGGTGCATTGAGTTATGCATAAAATTGTATATACACCATACATACAAGACAGACACCTAAAATATTATCTGCATCAATGTCTTTAGTAGGTAGGGCAGGTTTTTTTACTCTTTAATTCATGGCCTACCTCTAAAATAAGAGATCCATCATGTATCAAAACTGTGGCTACAAATAACTCAACAATATCAGGCAAGTGTGGCTATATCACAGCCATTGCTGTGTCTACACCTGAAAGATAATTTAGGGTCACGTCTTTTTTTTTTTTGGTGTAACAGTTAAGGGTGTTTAAGTCAATTTACGCACACCTCGACTGATTCCCTCCCCAGTCCGGCCAAAAACAGGTCATCTATGCCAGAACTAGAATATTCATGAGATATAAATCGCTCGTGTCCGTCACACTCGAATTTTTGAATTTGTTGTTTTTTAATTGATGTATTTGTCTTATTATTAGAGATATACAAATCTAATAGTATTGTGTGGAAAATTGTAGCGTTTCTTGCCATCAGAGTTTGGGATGGACCCATCACGAATGGGACATGCACTTCCACCAGGAAACGAAACGTTTCTTGAGAAAATGGTTGTGAGAAAGGCCATTGAGGACGCTGGAATTCCTTTTACTTACGTATCTGCCAATGCCTTTGCATGTTACAATGCTGCTAACCTGTGTCAACTTGGCACACTCTTGCCTCCACGAGACAAAGTATGCCTCTATGGAGATGGCAATGTCAAAGGTACAAGTTCATGCCTTTTGCATTTATAATTAATTATACATCTAACGATATAGCATGTGTTTTTAGTAGGGGTGCAACTCATTCGAATTAAAAATCTCAATATGAACATAAGCTGAGATTAGTATGAAATGTTTAGTACTTGGACACAGATTTTTCGTACTCAAATTTGACCTAGCACAAAGAATCCGAACCCAGTTTAAATTCAAGCAATGTTGGGGTTGTTAATACCCATAGGAGGTCAAGTAGCCGAAATCTAGCCTGAGTTGTATAATCCGAGAATTAAATCGAGGCTCAATCTGATTCAAAAGTCAAATTCAAATTGAATTTTCATTTCAGCCTTAAGTATGTTACCCATGCTCAAAACTTTCAGCATCACATGTTCAAAACTTTAAGCATCACAATTCTCGGGTTGAATTCAAAGCCAGACTAAAGGAAAATCAAGTAATTTATAACTTGAATTGAGCACAGATTGACCTCTTAACCCATCCTGAATTACACTTTACCTTTTGATGACATTATTTGTTTCGGTAACATCCATAACTTTGGTTATCTGCTATGCCAGCAATATTTTTGGACGAAGATGATGTAGCAACATACACAGTCAAGACTATAGATGATCCTCGTACATTGAACAAAACATTGTACCTTCGCCCACCACAAAACATCCTTTCTCAAAGGCAGTTGGTTGAGATGTGGGAGAAATTTATAGGGAAGGAACTGGAAAAGATTAGCATCTCTGCAGAAGATTTCATAGCCTCCATGAAAGGTTTGTCAAAGAAAAGTAAAACACCACGGATTCAATTACCATGTATTTTATGCAGAACATAGCTTTGCATTTATGTTCAAATGCTTCACAAATTGCAGATATGAACATTGGTGACCAAGCAGGAGCTGGGCATTTCTACCACATGTACTTTGAAGGGTGTCTAACAGATTTTGAAATAAGGGAAGAAGGAGAAGAAGCTTCGGAGCTCTATCCGGAAGTTGAGTACACGACGATGCACACATACCTGAAACGCTACATTTGAAGAGTCTGTTTTCCCTGGTTTTTATCTGGTCCAAAGCGCGCATTTTTCTTTCACTTTCCCTTGAACCACATGGAGCTTTAAATCATGTGGCATTTTGTTCAAATATGCAGACTATGGTTTCATTTCTAGCGTTTGTCAACTACAAAATGATGTTCATGTTTTAGTTTGTTTCATGAATAAAAGGTTATGCATAACTTTGTCTTATTACTGTCTGAATAAACTACGAAGTGATAAGCAACCTTCTGTAGTTAGCCAAGTTCAGTAATCTTTAAGTTACATGCTCTCTCTCTCTCTCTCTCTCTCTCTCTCTCTCTCTCTCATTGAGACCAGTGGCTAAGACAGAATGGGCTAGGAAAATACAACCTAACAAACAATGTGTTGGATAAAGTTCCCCCTGGTCCGGGGATATGGGAGGTGACAAAAGTTATTTTGGGAGAACGGATATCTCCATAGATAGGCATGTAGTACCTACAGTCCGAGTTTCTGATTGAATCCCACTATTGGTGGGAGTGTACAATTAATTTCCTGGATGGAAGTAAGAAGATAATTAGTTACAACATGAATCAAGAAGGGAAAAAACTGTGTTCAATCTTGTTTCCTAATAGAACCCTTCAAGTTGGAGCGTGAAGTTTAAGAACGTCTAACTTGGACTTTGAAAATGTAACTGATATTTACCCGCTGAATTGGTGAAGATATCGGCCAATTGTTTGGCACCAGAGAGATGGGCAGTGCTTAAGAAGAAAGAAGTAATGAGACTATCTCTTGATTATTTCTGCAGATAAGGGATAATTTCCTGGAGCTCTTCACAATCTTATCGAAAATCACATTCATTAACAAGCAGGTTTGCAGAAATGCCTTAATCAAAACCACCAGAAAATCTGGAATCGGTAGTAGAACCCTGTTTTTGGAGCTTTAATCAACCAACATAATAAGAACTTTTCCAAAAATGCCCCTAAATTTATCGATGATCCACAGATTGATGTGCTAAACATACAAGACGGTCAAGCATTTCTAAGAGAAACCATGCTGAGGATATACTTCAATGTCATGTATTTCCAGATACTATGTCAAGATTATTTATACCACCAATAGGTATACCCCAATGAAAATACCAACAACATCAACAACTATATTTTAGGATAAATTATGGAATATAAATAGCTAAGAACAAAAACACAATATAAACCAATTTGAGCAGCTACTAGAAGTAACATTAGATTAGAGAAAAAGATGAAGCACTCTATTTCCATTTCTACCTCCTATATGGAAGTTGCTTGGCTTCCAGTACAACTCCATTGGTGCCAAAAAAGTCGTACCTACCTCCTGTATTCAAATCAAAATTTATGGAACCTCCTTCAACCTCAACCTTGACATCTTTTTTTCGTTCTTCGTCTCCCAATAGAACTGACCCACCTGCCTTCCAATCAATATTGTTAAATACAGTCTTCTCCATAATGTTTTCATGCCTCTCTTCTCCATTCATATTGTCCATGAGATTTGATATAGCCAAGTTGAAGTTGGTGAGTTGAGCTTTTGTTGCTTCCAGACTGCTGGGGCAATTCATATCTAATGAGAGGTTCTTTTGAGCTTTCTCTAGTATTGTTTGCAAATACTTCCCTTGGGCTTCTATTCTCATCTGCAATTTCTTTTGTACCTGTAGTAATGAGACAGTTTATTCATTAGATGGCCAAAATGGACTGTGTCAAGGAGCAAAAGATTAGCAAACTATGCAAACAGAACGCTGAAAGGAATTGAAAAAACCTTGACTCAATATGTACCTCTAGCTGTTCCTGTAATCTTTTCTGTACTTCAATCTGACTCGGTGCCTCCGTAATTTGGATTGATCTGCTTAGGATGCAACATCCACCATCGCGGAAAAGAGACAACTTTCATTATGAATGTAAAGACTAGAGAATAAAGTAAGGCTGAATAAGTACATGTAAGCTATCTTCCACATTATCACTTATGATGCCAGTATTACCAAAACATAATGCTGTCTTCAAATTTTAAGGATATAGATCTAATGGTTGCCTGGGAACACAATGTAATTATATTACAGTAGCTCAATTATGGTAGCACATACCCTGGCTCACTGTTCACTCCTGATGAATTGCTACTGGTGCCTGAGCAATGCATAGTGTAATTTCCATAGGAATTTCCTGGAACACACAAAGCATAATGCATATGAGAATCTGGAAAAGAAATAAAGGGGAGTTTTAGACAAGAGACCGGACAGAGAGACAACATTCGTGAAATATTTGGCCACTGAGGGATTCCCAAAAATTCAGTGACTGCTAGTCTGAGCTCATAAAATATAAGTGGGTGAGTTTGCAGTGCAACATCATGTTGTTTTCTGTTGAAAAGGTTGAACTTTCGAAAAAAACAGGTTTAAGCTAAAAGATGACCTAGTGACTAGCAGTTTGAGCCATCTCTGCAGGCAAATACTTTAGCTATTTATCCAGTGTCGTAATGGACTCACCACTGTTCTCTCTGTTTAGTTCTAGTGTGTCCTGTTTCTTGGCCTGCTGTCCAAGTCTGTATTTCTACACATCCAAAATTCAAGAAATACTTCAGCAATGGTTCATCGAAAAGAAGGGGAAAAAAGGAGAAAAGGAGAAAAGGAGAAGCATAAAGTAAAGATATACCTGTAAGTGGCTCTTTAGATGATACAATGTCAAGCCCTTCAAGCCCATCACCCTCAGCACTGACTTGGGAGTTGCTTCTGCACATAAAATATACTTTCCACATTAAGCACACATTAAACTTGGTGCTAAGATAGTCATCCAAAAAGTTCCAGCTTTTTGGTCTTTGTGATGATATTGTGCCATCTACTTGAGTTCACTAGCCACAAAGTTTCGTAATCTTAAGCATTTGGCCCTCTTGGTTTTCAACATGACAGACAATTACCAGAGTATAGAGAAGAACATCATATACGGTTAACGAATGAGATATATTGCAGGCTGCAGAAGTTGGAATTTGCATTTTTCACCAAGTCACTTAGCCAACTTCTGAGGAGACAATAATATAGATACTTGGATGAAAAAGAAGGCATCAATTGGATTCTCAGAGGTCGATGAACAGTCTACCTAAAATCTTCTTTTTTGGGTAAGTTGCCTAACTTAATTGATGACACATGAAAACATTAGTTTTGAACTTACTATGGGGTCATTTGACTATTGAGTACTAGATCAGTAATCCAGTAAAGAGCCTAAGGAACCATAACTAGTCTTAGGCAGAGTCAAAGCAGGCTTTGCCAAACAAATAAATGCCTCATGAAACTTAGATGTTAAACATGAACTTTGCCAAACATGTCATTTACAGTTTTCCATCAATAAACCCTTTTACTGCCTAATTCAGATGACTACCACAGCCCTCACAAAGTTCATTTTATTCAGTCTAATTCCTTATGAAACAGAGTTCTAGTTGCCAAGGTAGCAGGATCATTCTCAATGTAATTATTTTCTTTTTCTATAACATTGTTACAGATAGCTGCATTTTCAAAGGTTTACACCATAGAAGATTGTTTCTGTAAGTGTACTCTTAATGTCATTGTAAGGACTCTACTTGCATCTGTTTACATTTGCAGATTCAGTCTTTCTGTGATGGGTAACCCTGCCTACTTTCTCCGATAGACCAGGACTTTATGCAATGGGTAAAACATATGATTGCCTTGGTGTTTCTACAAAATTATTACCATTAGAAAGAGGAATTCATGTTGAAAATTATGTTTAATGAAGTGAATATCATAAAAAAGAGATTAAAAGTTAGCATAGAGAGACGGAGAGAGACTCACTGTTCGGTCCACCAAGCTTAGTGACAGCATCAACAAAGCGATCATGAAGATCAGCAGTCCACCTCAGCCTTGGCTTTGGGTCTCTTGTCATCACCACCCCACCACATCCACTCTCATATGGATAACAACCACCTCCTCCACCACTTCCACCGCCACCACTACCACTACCATACATTCTCTCCATCACCAGTAGTACCCACTCAACTGCACCACACACAAGCTCTAAATTACCCACTTTCTCTCTCCCTCTCTCTTCAAAACATATTCAACTTCTTCAACCAGCTTTTACTCTTTAGTCACCCATTTTCCTGGAGAATGAATTCAGAACCCAAAAAGCTAAAAGAGCAAAGAAGAAGAAAGATTTTTGTGTACAAGAAGCTACAAAGGGTAATGATGTTTGATAATTCTAATTGTTCCTAGCAAATAGAATTTCTCAAGAAGATCAAAATTGGAAGAAAAAAAAATGCAAGCTTTCAAATGAGAAGAGAGAGAAAAAGTCAAGAACAGGGTTGGGAGAGATTCTCGGAGGCTAGAAAGCAACTGATTCAATGATTTCAACTCTTTCTGCTGAAGAAAGAGAATAAGTGTTTAAATAAAATGAACGTGGGGAGGAAATATCGGCGACGAATCTGAAGAAACATATGATAGACGAAAAACAAACTAAGAAATCAATAGCAACCACTGTGTATTTCACGAGTACAATGTCTTGAATCATGGGCCGTCAAATTGTGGGACTTTTTGGGTTCTCTAAGGTTAAGATTGTCAAATGCTTACAAAATTAAAAGTTGCGGGTCTTCTTTAAATCATTTGCTTTATAAACGAATAGATCCGACATAACATAATTGATAAACGAATTGAGTATAATTGAAATCAATCAAAAATACATGATACAATTTGTTTATATACTAATTATACATTATTCATATAAGACACAGACCCGATATGACATAATTCATTAAACACAAATTAATAAGTGAATCGAATATGAATTGGACATTTTTTGAGAGGTCAGAAATGTAAAAATACAAATAGGTCACTCCATATATTCATCGTATTACCATTCAGCACCACACAACTGTTTAGAGAAAACTCCACCGCACCTACATCGAAATCAAAACTAAGGTCCCACCACGTGTTCTAAGCGCTGCATAGTAGGTTTAATCCCAATGAATTGTTGTAGTTATGGAAACTCGAATTCAAACATTGAGTAAGAAAATTCGAGTTCGTTATATGAACTCGTTAAGATCCAACACAAACTCGTGTCCGATTAACAAGTCCATCTAAACAACTCTGGTCAAATTTTGATTTGGAAAAGTCAATGAATTTTATTTTCATAATATGTATTTGCATTTGTTAAATTAGAATTCAATTCGAAAATTCGAACCAGTCTAACTAATTTAGTTTAAGCAAAATTTTACTAAATTACATTTGAATTTTAAATTGATTCAATAAAATAATCATTTAATATTATATTAGATACATATACTTATATATATAATTCGAATCGGACCATACTTGGATCAAATATTAACAAATCTACATCTAAATCCATGAAATAAAATGTAGCATTTATATTCAAAATGGGGATTGAAAAATTGGTCAAAAATATTTGGTAAATCAAATTATATTTTTAAAAAAGAGATGCAGCCTAATACAGACAATCATAATTTTAATTATCTAAAGGTACATAAGATACAATTTTTAAATATATTTAAAATTGATTATCTAAAATAAAAGGTTAAGATGTAATAATTGGAATAAGAGCACACTATTAATTGAGTTTAAGATTTCTAAGAAACAAATCATCAAAAGTAAAACGTGATTGTCTTAATATTAATTTTATAGGACTTAATAATTTTTTGTGTTAAAATGTAGAACTTATTAGAAAAAATTTCATCACAGACATTCCAATATATTTTTAAAATTTATTTAATGAAAAATGATCCATCATATGTAAATGTAATGTACCTATATTTAGATAACAGTTGCATTCATAAAAAATAAATATGTACCTGTGATATACTTATATGTAGATAACAGTTGAATTCATAAAAATTAATTGATTATTAATTTTTTTTTTTATTCAAAAAACTTACTAGAATGAAATCCAACTTTTATTTAATCACCATTTTACTCGATATCAAACAAACAGATTTTTAAGATCCTAGATAGTATTTAAATTCAAAATCAGTATTGAGAATTTTATAAAATATATTGATCTATATCCAAAAAAAAAAATCGAATATAAATTCATATCAAATTCAATTTTGAAAAAAGAGATGCATTGACAAGCCTAATATGGTGTGAGAAATGATAGGTGATGGAAAGAGAAAACAAAACAAGAAAAAGAAGGAAAAAAAAAAGTCGAAACATTTTTCCTTATTAAGTTATAAAAGAAAGTGAGAAGAATTTAAGACATTTATGATTTTACCCTTCTTCCCCAAACGAAACACACCTTTGGATGGTACATTACTACTAGTGTCGTGGTGGGGGTGCAGGTGGTTTAGCTGGGGATGGGATGTGGGTGATTAAGACACGTGGATGACAGCGTGGAATATTCTCCCGGCAAATAAGGGGGAGAATATCCGTACAGTCACGTGCCACGTCGGCCCAATGAATGGTCCAAGTCCAGCCCAAAAAACAAAAAATATACGTGTCAATGTCTAGGTGCCTGGGAGTGACTGGAGTTGGAAATAAAAAAACACACAACACACACAGCTGTGTGTAAAGTTGTCCGGTTGATCTCTTCTTGCCTTGCCGGCTTAATCAGTTTTTTTTTCTACCCATGTTTGGATTTCATTATTTGTGTATTGGATTAGAAACGACATTTAGAATAGAGGAGATGACCTTTGAAGCGAAATCAATACTTATACCACTCCTATCCAATCTATTGTTATGTATAACCGAAAATACGCTCTAGTTGCATTCAACAGTTCATAACCACTCACGCATTATGTACTACTGATATGGTATCCAACATGGAGGACACACGTCATGGGATGAAATTTTTTGATTCTGCTCTACTGGGCGATGACATTGTTATCGCAAATCTAGCAGCCCAACAATCTCTAAAATAGTGAAAATTCAAAAATGAGTGATATAATCATATTCTGATCATCAAATTCCTAACACCAAGTCAATTTGAAATTTCAAAATTCAGCCTCTAAATTTGGCTCAAACTCAAAGGATACAAATACACAAAAAAAATAGAGAAAATAGAAAACATGATAGGCTTTAAAAAAACTCATCCAACAATCGTCAACAATCTCTCTCAAAATCATTTACATTGTACCGTGCCTTTAGACATGGGTTACCCATAGTTTAACTAGAAAGTAGAAAGACAATTAATGTAATTGTTACCCATATGAAAAGAAAAATTAACGCGTGAAATTTCAAGATACCACCGTAGGTTGATTTGTGTAAGATGGACGGTTGATTTTGAATGGCTTGAGGGGTACACCCAAAGCGGCAACCACAAAAGAAGCCTAACTCCTGTTCTCACCTGATATACCAAGTATAGAAACCCAACAACACAAGACAATTTAAGCAATTAGGACTAATGTAATAGTAGTGGGAATAATTATCAAAGCAAGTCATACAAGTACATACTTTCACAGGAGTTAATCATACCAACCCTGGCCGTTGTTTATAAACTGTCACTAAGAAACCAACGAATTTGATCGGCAACTCTTGGTATCACGACGGGATTTCCAGGGAGAGCCACTCATGACCTTTGTAGTTCCATTCCCTAAATGACTAACCGCTGATCATTGTACTAATTCTGCATATCACATCTTCAAAGCCCACTACTGAACCATTTCCAGTTTGATGTTTTCATGAGTAACAAGTTATTTAACTCCATTCAACAGCAAACCAAACACATTAAAGCCATGATTTCTCCCCAGACTTTACGCTCTTCACCCCTTTTTCTGCACACACGACATGAACCCAACTTCTAGTCACACTAAACAGCCTTTGTAACCTTTTCTTAGGGCGGTCTCATCCAAGTTTCTTCCAATGAAGACAAGCTTGTTAATCCTTTTCTCATCTGGATCCCATGCCTTGCCTGGAGAGCCATCTAACATGGAATGCACCCCCTAAAAGATAAAGGGAAAAGGAAATTAGGAAAAGAACGCATAAACTTCAACTCAAGTTACATCAACACTAAAATGAACAACTTTCACAGAAGATGTCAATGATTAGAACCTGAAAAACATAACGCTCCTCAGAACCTTCCACAGACAATACCCCCTTCATCCTGTACAGGTCCTCCCCTTTATCTTCGATCAGTCTTTCAAGCCAATCGTCAACCTGAATCATGCACAACCAGCAGAGACTAAGTCCAAGACATCAGAAGTTTATGTTATGAAGGCAAACCAACGGTACTACCCACATCCCTGTAAGAAAATAATCACAAGAAAAAAAGGTAGACTCTAATTCTTCTCCCCATCACAATAACAAAGTGCGTTAGAATAGCAACTGACCATACAAAAACCACACAACCAACATTAATGTACCTCAACCAAAGCAATTACCTCATCAAGATCTAGGGTTCCCTCGGAAACAATACTAACACTGGAGACAGCCAAATCGTGTATGTGGTCATGATGATGTCCTTTGTGGTGTTCTGTTGGGAAAGAAGAAAAGTTTATGCATGAATTACACAGAAATGTTACAAATAGATACAAATCACTCCAAAAAGCAAGTACCGGATGATCAAACTTGTTTTGATAAGGTGTTGTAAACCATTCTGATTAATTAAAAAAAGAGTACTACAAGCAATAGGCAATTCTAGACGAGCGTACTTCATTGCTAAGTATCTCTATTAAAATCGTGAAATAATCTGAAATGCCTTCCAAAACTCATAAATGCTACTGTATTGCTAAGGGTCCTGTGTAGCTTAATTAATCATCATTATAATTGTGGCTCACCTAGGCAATCTTAACTACTGCAAGATAATAACAATAAGGATTACCCTTAACTTGACATTCAAGTCATCTTTCACTCATTTTACAAACATGGACCCTAGACTAATAAAAAAGAGAAATATTAATACGCAATCAAGAGAGAACATAAATTCCACTGCAGAAACACCCAAAGGGATGGGTAAATTCAATTGACAGTATAGGGCAAATGAAGAAAATGGGAAAAAGAAAAGAGAATATAGTTGTAACAGGTATTATAGTCAAGTGAAGTGTGCCAACCAATACTGCTGTATGGCAACAGAGCAAAAATATAATAACTTCGTACTGCACAAAAACTTGCAAGATTTGTAGGCAACAATAAAAAAAGCAGACATCTGCT